ACAGTGTGCATAAACAATAATTGGGAGAATGACACCTGACTACACAAAGCTTCTCCGAGAGAAATGATCGAAAAATCACCTGACTTAAAGACTTCTGAGGCAGTTGAAGCACACACTTGTATCTGTTTCTGTAGCTTGTTCATTTGGAACAGGTTGTTACCCTATCAGGGGCTACAGTTTGTGGGATCCAGCTCCCTTAATGTGAAGAAAAAAAAACCTGAAAGAACTGAAGGGTCACTTGACCTGAAGCATTAACTCTGATTTCTCTCAACAGATGCTGCCAGACCTGCTGAGGTTTTCTAGAAATTTCTGTTTTTGGCTCTTTACGTGATACAGGGCTGACCAGAAGACTTTTCCATCCCTCTAACCTGCCAGTTGTTTGCCTGAAGGATTCAAAAGTTAATATTCAAACTATTTGCCATTTTGAATGGATCACCTGTGGCCATCAGGCCCTGGGGTAGGACTTGAGCCAGGACTTTCTGGCTCAGTAGAAGGGATGCTACAAGATTTCCTCAAAACCATCCTGAGAATTTGACAAACAATCTGGGGTTTTTAACTAGTCTCCTCACAATGTTTGCTTTGGTAACTCTCCATGCCCACTATATAAATATGGAGATGAGACAACAGCAGTGACCGTGCACCAACATTGAGCTGTTGAACGAATGAGAACGTCCTGCACTAATAGAGCTCTGCCTACCTTGGGCAATATGCAAAGTGCCAAATGGGCAAATTGCCAATATGATGGAACAATGCTTCACTTCCCAATGCACACTTGACATTTATGACATTCCAGCTGAGGTAGATGTGCACAACTTCTGAAAAAGTAATTGGACCAAGTGTGAGCAGCTTCCAGGAGTTATATCAACAGCTGCATCAAGGACACTCCATTCACCGGAAGATCAATTCCTGGAACATCAAAGTAGCAAAGATCAAGATTCAACTCCTGAACACCTGCAAACATGAGGAAGTGCAAAGTGTGTTAGGCCTGTATCTTTTGGAGTTTCGAAGAGTCAGAGGTGACTTAACTGAAACTTATAAACTCCTGAGGGGACTTCACTGGGTGGATGTTGAAAGGGTGTTCCCTATTGTGGGTGAATCTACAACTTGCGTCATTGTTTAAAAATAAAGGGGTACCCATTTAAAACAGAGATGAGGAAACTTTTTTTTTCCACTCCGAGGGTTCAAGGGTCTTTGAAATTTCCTTTCTCAAAAGATAGCAGATACAGAATCATAATTGTTATTGTTAAGGCAGAGGTAGATAGATTCTTGATTGCCAAAGGGTTGAAAGATTATCGGAGATATGCAGAAATGTAGAGTAGAGGTTAAAATCAGATCAGCCATGATCTTATTGAACTGCAGAGCAAGGGCTGAGTGGCCTACTCCTTTTCCTTATTCGTATGAATTGGGATTCAGATGAATTAGGAGTGAGTATGCCATTTAATTTAATCACAGCTGACTTTTACCTCATATTCATCAATCCAGCATTGCTCCAAATTCCTTGATACTTAATCTAACAAAAATCTGTCAGTTTATCTTAGTGTCCACTGACTCCCACTATCCACAGCCTTTCTGGGGAGTGAGTTTAAGATTTCCTTTTGTCAAATTTTGTTTTTAACTGTCCCCATTAGAGGATATTGTTTGCCTGAATCTACTCTTAATCATGTTAAATACCGTCATCTTTACAAACGCAAGGAAATATTAGCCAAGTTTTGAAATTTGTTCACAGAATTTAATCCTTTAAACCCTGGCACCATTCATAGAGTCATACAGCATGGAAACAGACTCTTCGGTCCAACACATCAGTGCTGACCAGGTATGCTCAACTGAACTAATCCCATTTGCCTGCGTTTGGCCCAAATCCCTCTAAACTTTTCCTATTCATCTACCTATCCAAATATCTTTTAAATGCTGTAATTGTACTCTACTATTTCCTCTGAGCTGTCTCTTGCTCCTGAGGCACTGATAACTGACTGCAGTTACTCCAGCTGGGGTCTGTGTAACTGATGCACTCTTTCACTTTAGGATTCCAGCAGCTCTTCCCCTGAAGTGACAGTGCCTTGATAACTGTACACGTGCCTTAATAGAACAAACCAAGGCTAAAATCCTCAATGACAAAAAAATCATTTTGGAAGCACAAATGGAAATATAAAATGTTTATCCATAGATCGGTGAGAGATACTTGTTGGAATTCTGTAAATAGGCCTCCTCTCTGACTAATACTCAGTGCGTACCAGTATAAGACCACAATTGCTCAAAGCTGTCTCTGTTGGATTTATTTTTGCTGGATGTTATCTCTGATTGTGTGTAAATATAATTCTGTACAATACCTTTTAATATTATAAGTTTGAATGTGTTAAATTTAAAAGTTTTGGCTATTGTTATGTCAAGCTTGTATGATTGTAGACATCTCAATGGCTGTCAGGTCAAAGAGTCAAATGATATGCTTTATATGTCACTAATATTTGGTATGTACCTTCTTAAAAATGTGCAAATAAATTATATCATAGAGCATGCTATTGCTGTCAGTGTGTGTCAGTTCACTACACTGTGAGCCGCTTCTCAGTGAATTGCTGCCACCAACTTCTTCAAGTATAGGAGATGACAGGGCCTGCTCAGAGGAAACTCACTTCTTGGTCCAAATATAAGAGTCTTTTCTGGTAAACAAGATAGATATTTTCTTACCACCTGTTTGGAAACGTTGATTACCACCACTGCGTCATGCTTCTGGCATTCCCGGTATTATTCCACTCAGACTCATAGACAAGTTTTGTCATTGACTTTTTTTAAATTTAAAGAAAGCATTGATAATATTGCCTCTGTTGTTTTGGAAGAAAGAAATATTTGAATGAGATGAGGTGAGAGTGAAAACCCCCGACATCAAGGCCACATTTGACCAAGTGTGGCATCAGTTTTGGTCTCCTTTTCTGTGGAAGGATGCTCTTGCTCTTGAGTGAGTGCAGCGAAGGTTTACTAGGCTGATTCTGGGGATAGGGGGTCTGACGTATGAAGAGAGATTGACTAGGTTGGGATTGTTTTCACTAGAGTTCAGACAAATGAGGGGGGATCTCATAGAGACTTATAAAATTCTAACAGGACTGGACAGGGTAGATGCAGGGAGGGTGTTCCCGATGGTGTGAGTGTCCAGAGCCAGGGGTCACAGTATGAGGATTTGGGTTAGACCATTTAGGACAGAGATGAGGAGACATTTCTTCACCCAAAGAGTGGTGAGCCTGTGGAAATCATTATCACAGGAAGTAGTTGATGCCAAAACTTTGAATGTATTCAAGAGGCGACTAGATATAGGGGAGGCGATGGCCGAGTGGTATTATCGCTGGACTGTTAATCCAGAGACCAGACAACATTCTGGGGACCCAGGTTTGAATCCTGCCATGGCAGATGGTGGAATTTGAATTCAATAAATATCTGGAATTAAGAATCTAATGATGATCGTGAATCTATTGTCAATTGTCGGAAAAACCCATCTGGTTCACTAATGTCCTTTAGGGATGAAAACTGCCACCTTTACCTGGTCTGGCCTACATGTGACTCCAGACCCACAGCAATGTGGTTGATTCTTAACTGCCCTCTGAGCAATTAGGGATGGGCAATAAATGCTGCCTAGCCAGTGATGGCCCTCATCCCGTGAATGAATAAAGAAAAAGAAACTTGGGGTGAATAGGATCAAAGGTTATGCAGAGAAAGCAGGATTAGGCTATTGAGTTGGATGATCAGCCATGATCGTGAAAACTGGCGGAGCAGGCTCGAAGGGCTGAATGGCCTCGTCCTGCTCCTATCTTCTATGTTTCTACATTTCTATAAGGAGCCTTATAAGGGAATCAGGGCAAAAACTCTTTGCTGGTTAAGTCATAACTGGCACACAGGAAGATGGTCATTGTTGTTGGAGGTCAGTCATCTCAGCTCCAGGACATCTCTACAGGTGTGCCTCAGGGTAGCATCCTAGGCCCAACCATCATCAGCTGCTTCATCAATGACCTTCTTTCCATCTCAAGGTTAGAAGTGGGGATGTTCGCAGATGATTGCACAATTTTCAGCACCATTCGCAGCAACTCAGATACTGATACAGTCCATGTTCAAATGCAGCAAAACCTGGACAATATTCAGGCTTGAGCTGACAAGTGGCAAATAACATTTGTGCCACACAATGCTAGGCAATGACCACCTCCAATCAGAGACAGTCTAACCACTGTCCCTTGACATTTTATTAAAGATTACCATCACCGAATCCTCCACTGTCAACATCCTGGGGATTACCATTGACCAGAAATTTCATGGCGACTTTGTGCACTTTTCGTTGTACTTATGTATTCCTATACTTAGTACATGTGAATAATAAATAAATCTAAATTTAGCATATAAACACACTGTCAACAAGAGCAGGTCACAGGTTAGGAATACCGCAGTGAGTAACTCACCTCCTGACTCCTCAAAGCCTGTCCACCATCTACGAGGGCACAAGTAAGGAATATGATGGAAAACACCTCACTTGCCTGCAGCCTCAGCAACACTCAAGAAGCCTGACACCATCCAGGACAAAGCAGCCGCTTGATTGGCACCACATCTGCAAGCATTCACTCCCTCCACCACCGACACTCAATAGCAGCAGTGTGTACTATCTACAAGATACACTGCAGAAATTCACTGAGGTTCCTTAGAAAGCACCTTCCAAACCCATGACCACTTCCATCCAGAAGGACAAGGGCAACAGATACGTGGGAACACCAGCAAGTTCCCCTCCAAGCCACTTACCACCCTGACGTGGAAATATATCGCTGTTCCTTCAGTCAAAATCCTGGAATTCCCTCCCTAAGGGCATAGTGGGTCAACCTACAGCACATGGACTGCAGCGGTTCAAGAAGGCAGTTCACCACCACCTTCACAAGCGCAAGTAGGGACAGGCAATAAATACTGGGCGAGTCAATGACTCCCATGAGTGAATATGCAAAACAATTAAAAAGAAACACACACCAAGTGAGGAATCATTCACAATGAACTTTTTTTTATTAGTAAATCTTAACAGAACTACAAAATTATAGTTCATTTAGATAGATCCAGCCTCTCGGTAACTATATTCGCAGTTAAAGACACAAGTTACATACATGGGGTAAAGGGTAACCTCAGGGTTAATAAGAGGGTGGAACTGCAGGACATTAATATCAGCAGAAAAGAATGTGATTAGGATAAAACCCCAGCACTCGGTTCATATCCTAGATTTCCCAAAGAGGCAGCTAGAGAGAGTGTGTGATTTCCCAAAGATTCGCTGATTCTAGAATATTCCAAGCAGATTCAAAGTTAGCAAATGTAACCGCACTTTTACAAGGAGAGAGAAAATAGGGAACTTAAGGCCAGTTAGCTCAAGATCAGTCATCAGGAAGTGCTGAATCTATTGTTAAGGAAGCCTTAATGATGCACGTACATAGTTTGATCAGCCAAACTGAACATGGCTTTACTAATGCAAAATCATGTTTGATAATTTACAGTAGTTTTTTTTCCAGGATGTAACTAGACTGGTAGTTAAAGGGGAACCCAGTAGATGTGGTCTACCTGGATCTCCAAAAGGCGCTTGATAAACTGCCACATGAAAGGTTTAAATACAAGATGGAGGCCATGGAATTGGAGGGCAATGTCTTAACGTAAATACAAGATTGGTTAATGGACAGGAAATGGACAGTTTGGATAAAGGGAGCATTTTCAAACTGGATATCATGGGGCCCAAAACAATCAGTGCTGAGCCGTTAGCTAGTTACAGTCTATATTAATGATATAGATGAAGAGAGGGGTAATGTAACTAAAGAGAGGGAGTAATGAAACTAAGTTTGTTGGTGATACATAACCAGGTGGAAATGCAACTTGTGAGGACACACAAGAGATAGAGATGAGAGTTGGCAACAAGGCAGCAGATGGAGTACAAAGTGAGAGAGTGAGAGATGATTCACTTTTATCATAAGGCAAGAAAAGCAGCATTTTTTAAAAACGTGTGCAACTTGTAAATGTTGGTGTTTAGAGAGATTTGGATGTACTCTTACACGGAACACCAAAAAGCAGGCAATCAGGAAAGCAAATAGGATGTAGGCCAAGGTCATTGTGGAACAGGAGTGAAGATGTTATGCTGCAATCCTACCGGGCTTTGGTGAGAACACAGCCAGAACACTGTGTACAGTTTTGGTGTGTCTTTAAAGAAGGGTATACTTAGGGGTGGTGTACACTGAAGGTTCACTAGGTGTTCCCTGCTATGAAAGGGTTGTCCTAAAGACTGGGTAAATTAAGTCCGTACTCTCTGAAGTTTAGATGAATGTGAGATGATTTTCTGAAACATCCAAGATTCTGAAAGGGCTTGGCAGGGTCGACATTGAGAGATTGTTTCCCATTGGCAGGGTCTCTAGAACACAAGGGCATAGTCTCAGGATAAAATGTGAATTATTTGAGACTGAGGTGAGGATAAATCTCTTCTCTCACAGGGTTTTGGGATTCTCTATCTCAGGGAGTTATGGATGCTCCATCATTGAGTAGATTTTGTGCTGACGTGGACTGACGTTCGGTGTCCTGGGGAACTGAAGGATGTGATAAATGGGCAAGAAAGCAGAGCTGAGGCCCAAAATCAGCCACAATTGTGTTGAATGGTGCAGCAGGCTCAATGGGCTGAATGGTCCTATTTCTTACATTCTTAACTCCTTAAGAAAACTTTGTAATAACGTTGGGCAACATGGTGACAAGATGTAACAATTGAATGGACATGGTTTTTGTGACAGGACATTGGACCAGGAGTGGTAACATTGCCCTCACAGGTCAAAGTTCATAGGTGTTGTCTCAATATAATTTTTGTTTGGAAGCAAAAGGAGTTTAAGCTTTATCAGAGATGATGGATTGTTTCCATTTTCAGTGTTCTGTGCTGTGAGCTTCAAAGGTAAGCAAGTAAAACCCTCAGCATCACTCAAACACTGAACTACAAATGGCCAAAAGTCTCGTTGATGATGGTAGGCTAAGATAACAGCTTAGTCCCACAGACCATAATATTGAGTTGTTCCCTATATATGCTTTATTGCAACAGACAAACAGACAAGGGAGAATGGAAAAAATGGATGTAGAAGGAACTAAAGGTTGTGGAGTATTAATATCAGAACGGAGCAGTTGTATTGTAGGTTCTATATAGTTTACTGCAGGAATTGTAAACACAGAGGCAGACTGGGCAGGATTCCTTCGTCACACCTTCTGCATACAGCCAATATTTTCTGTTTCTCCCCTTCCAGCAATTGCATTCATTTTATTCTGCTTTTGGTTTGCTCAGTGCAGTGTTCCAAGATCTCGCTGAGTGTAGGTCTCGGGGGAATCACTGGAGTTGTCTTCCCCTGCTGCCTGTCTTTGGCTGGGTTGCTAGTACCTGGAGCTGGCAAGGGATAGGAAATATGTGAAACAGAGCACACATTGGTGGATTCCGCATGCCCTCTCTCTCTCCACTGACACCTGAGAATGGGCATCACTACAGCAGAAGGGCAGACAGTTGGGTATCATGACCTCCCTCCACTCCCTCATCGCCCGCTGCCTGTTGACAGTCACATTGACCAGGCCCAGGAGCTGGCCTGAGGGACCCTGCACTCTATCCACCCCACCCCTCTACACTGGGTGTCTATAGATCAGGAGCATGGGGGTTGAAGTGCAACCAAAAAGGTTAAAAGTAACCCTTTTGGAAACAAAACTAAATAGGGTTACAAATGAAAACGTTCAAAATAAGCATGAAAAGCTGTTCCCTCGAGGACACTAAAAAACCCATGGGACCTGGCAACTGATCACCAACCTAAATCTCTACCTCATGGGCACACAGTGTAACATTCTCCAACCCAGATCCCTGATGGAAAGAGAGTATTCGCCTTTCAGACAGGCCCCTCTCCCTGGCTCCTCTGCCACAAGAAGGTACAATACATCTCCCACACCGAGACTGAGGGTTTTTTATGCCTGTGTTGTCTTTCTGAAAGAATACTCACTCTCCTCCTCTTTACCACAATTCTTTTCTATTTCTTTTCTGTACTTATCCAAAAGATGTAAGATATCATGTGTTTCCCCACTGTTTCTGGTTTTTTGTATTCCTCTATATAAATGGTTCTGAAATAACCTCTGCCTTTGCTCCTTTTGTGGTGATTACACATTGAACATTTTTCCCTTCAGTGATCAATGTACTAGTCAGTGGAAAAAAAGGTTTACTCTGGGGGACTTAATCATATCAAAACCCTTCATAACTCCAAACAACAAATTCAGGCCTCCATTGAACTTCTCTGTGCTCATGAACAGCCTTTTACACCTGAACTCGTCCCAGTGAATCTCCTCTGTGTCATTTCCTAGAAACAGAGAAAATAGAAGCAGGAGTAGGCCATTCGGCTCTTTGAGCCTCCTACCCCCATTCAATATGATCATGGCTGATCATCCAACTCAATAGCCTGTTCCTAATTTCTCCCTTTCATCCCTTTAGCTCTAAGAACTTTATCTAACTCCTTCTTGAAAGCATTCAATATTTTGGCCTCAGCTGTTTTTTATGGCAGAGAGTTCCACCACTCACCACTGAAGAAATTTATCCTCATCTCAGTCCTAAATGGCTTATCCCATATCCTTGGACTGTGACCCCCAGCTTCTGGTCTCCCAGGTCATCAGGAACATCTCTCCTGTGTTTATTATGTATGGTTCAGTTAGAATTTTATAGGTTTCAATGAGAACCCCTCTCATTCTTCTAAACTCCAGAGAATATAGTCCTAACCAATCCAAAATCTCTTCATGTGTCAGTCCTGCCATCTCAGGAATCAGTCTGGTAAACCTTTGTTGCACTCCCTCCATACTCAGAACATCCATCTCCAGATAAGGAGATCAAAACTGCCTACAATACTCCAGGTGTGGACTCAACAATGCCCTGTATAACTGCAGCTTGACCTCCTTTCCAGAGTAAAGAGCTCAAACTTGACTGGAATGACCTCACATTACCCTCAGACCTGGAAAGTAGACATGAGGAATGTCCTATTGAATGAGGGAGCAGGCTCGAGGGGGTAAATGACCTACTCCTGTTCTTATTTCTTGTGGATTTCTGCCCAGTTGTGGACTGATCCCAACTGCACAGCTGTTTATATATTGCTGGCTTTGCTGTACACTGCTCACTATGGACCTAGTCTAGTGATATCTCACAGCAAAAGAGGGTCTCATATAGGATTAATTTTATAAAAGGCTAGTATAGTTACTCTGTCATCAAGTAGCAAGAAGCAAACCAACCATTTAAAAATCAGAGTCTGACTTCAGCTATTTTTAGTGACACTGTACACTATCCCTGCACAGTGTTGGGAGGACATGTTGTATTTCTCTTATCCTGACAGCATCATCCTGTTGTGACCCACTTTCTGAAAGCAGTTTAAAGGTGAGAGCTGTGTAAGGACTAACAAATAAACCGTGATGACAGGAGCTCACCGTGGGAGACAGCAAGAACTGCAGACACTGGAAGTCAGAGTCGATACAGTGTGGAGCTGGAGGCACACAGCAGGTCAGGCAGCATCAGAGGAGCAGGA